CCATATCATTCCCTGGTTGTTAACCAGATGCAACACATTCTCGGCCACTTTAAATTCACCATATTCAGGCTAAAATTTCACTAAAATCTGTCTATTATACCAAAAAGAAAAAACTCCTACCATTGGCTTCCAGAAACAGAGAGGTAGCTACCTAAAGAATTTGACTCTGCCAATAGGACAGCCAGTCTTTCTACGATTCCGTTCATTCGCTTCAATGGTAAATTAGTAATGACAAATACTAAGGAACAAAATCTACCATCAGCTTGCTTCTAGCCCAAAGAAAAGAGACTTTGAAGGAGACGTTCGTCCGGCTTTAAAAAAATCTGATGGCGAAGTAACCTTTTCCGATTTGTTGAAGACACCAGCTTTTTCCCGATTGTCTTCAAAACTTTATCGTTCAGTCACTGATAACTGCTTAAATCTTAGCCCAGCACACTAACAGCAGCATTCAGTTCATTTATTCCAGTTAGCTGTGGATGGAATCTAGTCAACTGCTAATAAACTGCTAACAGTGAGAGCGAAGACAGATGCACTGAAGATACGTTCAAAGGAAATTCTTTAAAATTTTCTTTTTAAATTGTAAAAAATACCTTGTTTTTTTTAAGGGCTTTTTACCTACCAGAATTTTTCCAGGATTTTTTTACGGATATCCGTTTCCATTTCAAAAATATTCTTTTGGAAAATCCTTTTTGTGCTGTTCGTACAGGTTTTTAAATGACCGAGTTTATTCACTATAAAAAAAAAACACTCACGAATGTGGTTTCGAGATTCCAGAACCACCATATATTTGTATAACGAACCCAGAGGGCACGAAAAAAATCGATGACCAGGATAGAAGCAATTGTCATCACCAAATCCGTCGTCACAAGCTTCGTAATTTCCTAAACGGCCTTTTCTGCTGGTGGATGCATGAAGGGCACGTTCTTCCAAACGTTTGTTACAGTTCTTATAACAAAGAAATAAGTTCTTAGAAAAAGTAAGCTCAACCTGTCCGATGAGATTTTCCCAGCACTCCTCGTACCAGTCCGTTGTTAAACGTGCCGATGAAATGGCCCGGACCGTCGATGAATAATTTAAAAAAGTCGGCTTTGCACTAATATTCTTCGACCAGTCTGCCTTCCCGATTGGATATGCAACAAACGTACTGGAGTTTATAAATCCACGTCGATTTTCCGTAACAACTGCCTTTGGATTTGTTATACCAAGCGGACCAAAATTCGGAAAAACCTACAGTAACGGTAATGATTGTATAATTAATTTTTTCCAGACGATGATTGGCAGCGATGATATTAGTTCCAGCATTCTTAGGAATGAATCGATCAAAATCATAATAACAATCTTCATCACGGTATAGTTGATGCGGAATGCGCAGGGATTGGCCATCGGTAAAGTTGTACATCAGTGTTACTTGCAAGACAGAACGGATTCTTAATTTATTTTGAGACGATAAGGTATAGCAAGTAAATGCTGAAATCGGATAGCGCTGGTCAAAAGGATTTAGCATAGCTATGCCGGCGCATAGTTGTCAAGGGTCTTCAGTGCCGTTTTTGTAGTACAGTGATAGAAATTAAACGTAAATATGAAAATGCCACTTTAGATAGCTATAAAACCAAAACTTAAAAGTCATAACTTCCTTCATATATCCTCTTCGCAAGAAGAAGACTCGGAAGTAGCCGTATGGTGGCAAGAATCAACAGCAAGCTCTCGCTAGTAAATTTATCGGTGACTTTCCCTTTCAGGTGACAACGGGCTTGTGCCAGTTACCAATTTACCATCGAAATGAATGAACGAGTCATAAAGGAATTGATTGTTTGAGAGACGGCATCAAACCTTCGACATTCTGCAGATATCTACTTCTCACTCCATCATGTCTGTCGGTAATTAAAATATTGATACATAATTGGGGGTAAAGAAAAATGGCTTACCGTTGTCCATGG